TAATGCACGAATAAACCTAAAACGCTTAAAAGTTATTGGGCAACTTGCAAACATAGCCTTGAACCTAAGTATTTGCGAATAGGAATCTCACGACTTCTGTCTGCTGTATGTGTGTCCTGTTTCATTGTGTGACTTGTGTGTTAGCTTAAAATGCTCAAAAAATCAAACTTGTTAATTACAACTCCTCTGAAACTTCGAGATTTCTCAACATGCGTGCCGAAAGTTCCTCTTTCTCAGGCTCTACTCGGTTTCACTCCAACCTTCAGTTCGACTCCCTCATCAAGGAATTCGGCAGTGATTATAACCAAGCTAGGCAATGGCTTAACGGTTGCTTCACAGAACAAGTTCGGAATGCATTGCACGATTGGAGGTATGAGGAATGTGTATGATCTACTTTTAGCTATGCTGAGGGCTGGGCCCCGCTATGAAAGTGGAACTGTCTCTGGTGTGTCGCATTTTCTTGAAAAGCTTGGTTTTCATGTAAGAAGTTTCCTTTTTCATGCTGGCTTAGTCTACTGACAGATTTAGGGACCGAGATCATATCCAATCCAAAATGGAATCGTGCAACGCCATTTTCGACTGTCAGATATCTAGGTACCTGCTTGTTCTAAAGCTTTTAAGCTGTTAGGGATTTCATCGTTTACGCCATTTCGGGATTGAATAAGCATCTTGTTGACCTCGTTAATGTCCTATCAGAAACTACTTTGCGTCCAAAAATCACCAAAAATGAAGTTGACATGGCGGCCCGTGCCATTGGATTTGAGTTGTCTAGTTTGGAAATGGCGCCACCTACGGAACCCATCCTCAACGATCTTCTCCATTCCGCTGCATTTCACGGCTGCAATACCCTTGGTTTTCCCCGTTATTGTCCAGCTGAATCAATCGACAGCATATCGCGTCGTGAAATCATGCAATTCATGGCCTCCTACTACCGGTAATGGTTTTGAAGTCGTTTGCTATTACAGTCATCTATTGGATCAGAAGTTTCCCATTCCAATACCTTTTTGACGGTATTTTGCTACTCATAGGCCTGAACGCATGGTTGTAGTTGGCGTTGGAGTGGATCACAATGATTTTGTCAACTTAGTTGAGTCGTCGTTTGTGCCGTGGGAGACCAGTTATGGTCTGGAGGTACCCAAGGAGGATCGTCTCACAGTGGATGATTCTTTGCCCGTCTATAGTGGTGGTGAAATCACCGTACGTTTGCTCATGAAATTGGCGTAATAGCCTTTCGTGGAATTTCCCTTTTTAGTATCCATTATTGCGATTTCATACCCATTACCGTACTGTTTTGGAATTGTTGTTTTTTTTTTATTTTCAAATGGTATCAG